TTTGCTAAGCTCTAAAAATGTAAAAAATGTAAATTTTATCCAGTAATCACAGACAGCTGGAAAAGCCTGAGTATGCTGGTATTATGTTTATTGTTTCTTTTCACATGTTGAAACAAAATCCCCCTTTAAAGGGTCAATATGTGTTACATACTATAATTACTAATTCCTCCTTTTCTCTTGATCTTTCTTTCTGGTTTGGTGGTTTGTGTTGTTGTGAACTCATTCTGTTCCAGAATCTCATCACCAGTTTTCCCGCCAGAGTCCATGTCCCGTTTTCAGTTCATTTCACTTCGCTCTCACTCACTTTTCTCATTTCCCCCATTTCTGCTCATCTTTTACAGCATTTTCTCTCTCCGCTATCTCCACTTGTCTTCTCGTTCACTGGTGGGATGTTTATTTCATTGCCTGTGTTTTTTAATGCGGATGTTTTCAACCAAGATTTTAATCCACCGCACCCCTCCCCCTCTCCACCATCCAAGCATATAGCAGCCCATCCTCCCATTTTCTTCCCTCCATCCCTCCCTAAATGTATAAGAGATAAGGAATAAAATCAGGCCATCGTATTAAAAGCACCAGAGAAGGTCCTACAGGCTGTGACAGATATACACCAACCAGACCAGCTTCAAGAAAACAGCTTAAGCTCAGAAAGGCAATACAGGAATCAATATAAGCACAATCCTAAAATTCGATCAGCCAGGCAATACACATCACTTCATGCGATACTAGCCTGTCAACTCTCCTTGAGCTAAACAACTTGGCAGGCATAAACAAACAGGATTTGTTTTCAAGGTTAATGATCTTATTTGGCACCCTTACACTGAACATTTCAAGACAAATATGGTTGTTGTTCCAGAATACTCAACTTGAGCTCTTAGTCTAATAGCGTACTCTTGAAAAAAATCCAGTTTTGGTTGGATGGCATGTCAATGAGTACATTCCGACGCATGCATCTTTAGCGGCGCATTCCCATCAGGCGTGATATGAGAGGGACGAGCGTCTTAACCTTCCCGCTCCCCTCCTCTGCGCTTTATTACAGCGAAACGCACCAAAGGACACGTATCGATCCGGCATCTAGAGGTGAATTTTTTCAGTAGGCCCATTCTTTTCTCAGCAAATGGGATTATTTTACCCCTGACCAGCTAGTGGCTTGTTTAAAAGCGCGTGTATGCATGCACGAGCTAACCTTCCTGTGCTGGAAAGCTCATTTGTCATAGTAAATCAGTCTGTGAAGGCGTGGAGAGCTTTGAACAGTGGTCAAGGAGGAGTTTTGAGGCTTCTCTATGATGGATGGATGAATTGAACGATGGGATGCAGGATGGCACATACTTCCACACACCTACGCTTCACTTTTTATGCCACTCTTGGTCTGTTTTTAGCTCTGGCTGGGATGCTGAAGGTTACATGTGTTATGCATTGATCAGTTATGATGTCTGGACTACTTTTCACTTGTTTCCAGGCTGTATGTGTGCAGGGTGGCGGAACTATAGGGATGATATAATGGAGAGGCGGTTGACAGCTAAGGGGCTCTCTGCCTTACTGAAGAGAGATGAAAGAGAGGACAAACCTATCAGCAACTCCCAGCACAGGAGTACAACGCTGGACACACACACACTGAAAAGTGTCAGTGATACATGGGTCAATGGCATACAATTGTCTATGTGGTAGCTAAGGAAAAGGAAAAGACTCTTTTTAAAATCTAGTCTACAATGTGCTAAGTTCTTAGAAATGTATTTCTCAAAACTTTTATTTCACTATTCAAGACAATTTTAATGTCATGTAGTGTCACCATCAAGTGAAAAATACATTGTCCTTACATTTTGAATACATGCAAGTGTACACATCTTAAAGTTTTTCAAGTATATTTGGTATGTCTTTTTTTTTTAAGATATCAGATGCTATACATTTTATTTTGAAAATATCATGTTTTGGGGGAGTCAGATCAAGTGCAATTTACAATGTAAGCCAAACTTGCCTTATCACAAAAAAATTTTTTGCAACAATTTATAATAATATGTATTATAATTTATAACAAATATAATAAAATAATTATATTTAATTATGACTATAGTAAGAAATAACAATATAAAATAAAATATATAAAAATATAATATAAAATGAAAAATTTCCATTGTTTTAATAAGGTTTGTTCTTCATTATGAGAGTTTTTGACATTATGTCCCCTTTAAAATACATTATAATTGTTAAAATAAAATATCTATCTATCTATCTATCTGAACAGCAGTGTATTTTTTTCAGAAATGAAAAACACACATCATATAAGAGGTATGTGTGTGTGTGTGTGTGTGTGTGTACATGGTTGCGTGTCAGGGCTCCATGCATCAGTAGGTATAGTCAATCGTGTGTATGAACTGTATTTTTAGTTATAATGAACAAAAATTTGAACAAAAAAAAATTAAATTTCATGCTGGTTGCTGTACATAAGTATACAAATGTGCACAAACAAACACGCATAAAACAAGCCTCCCACATGAACATACATAAATGTACATCCATAGAATTGAATCGGTAAATGCGGGCAATAAATTCTAATTCCTTCCGGCATGAAGTTTAATCACTTCAGCAACTTGAAAAAGCACAGTAAAGCTGCTCAGCATTACATGACAGCAGACAGGTTGTTCTGTATATAGGGGGAGGAGGAGAATCTGGTTTTAACAGCCCCTTTCTATGCTTATATATATATTTTTTTTTTTCTCTTTAAGTCACATTACTTTATGGGGGAAGACCCTGGAGACTCTTCATCTCCTCCAAAATACAATATATAGACATCTCCAACAGCAATCAGACATATTGTATTGTCTCAGCTACAATGCGCACCTTACCTCACTGGTTCACCTCTTTTATACTATCAACAAGTTTGGAATTTCTATGTCTACATTCTTTGACAGTATGATGAATAGACCGAGGCACACATTGTTTTCATAATCCTCTTAACTTGCAAGGGTCTCTATTAAAAGAAAATGTCTTAGATCAAGCCAAGTGATAGCACTGAAAACAAAATGTCAGCACTGAATAAACAACTTTATTTTTCAAAGAATCAAGTTATGCAACTTAATTGAAACAATTGTTCCATATGTATCTAGAGCAAAAACTGAAAGTAAAAAATCCAAGTAATTCTTGCCATAGGAGTGTGTGGGTGAGAAGAGGACTGCATACTGTAGGAAAAAGATCATGCTGGAAAAGTCAAGTATCAGGGAAATGCACCAAATCAAAGTTTCCAGCTTCTATCCACCGGTCTACAAGATGCATTCCCTCCTTCCTTCAGCTTAAAGTTAAAATAGCTTTATTAAAACTCATACAGCTGCCAGTATTTGGTAGACATTTTCTCCATCTTTGATTTGACTAAAAAAAACAAAAGTTGTGAAGACACGATTAAACGGTAGAAATTTGTCAACCGGTAAAGATTTTGGACTATCATCTCTAGCGCGGTTACAAGCTCATGTGACGTTGCTGTGCTACATGGTCACAAAAATGTAGCATTTTCATGCATTTTTAAGCATTGCGGTTTAAAAACAATGGAGTTTAAGACATTGAAATGCAATCAGCAGTTAAAGAGAATTAATTTTGCTATATGTGCGTACTGTCTGAGAGACTGGGAGTTATTTTTGCCACTTTATAGACCTTGAACGGTTACATACTTGTATGTGTCAAAATGCCCATATCCTCGTAAACAGTAATTTAAGTCGTAAGTGAAAGCAAACAGCTGAGAAAGAAAACACATGTGTGACAGTATATTGGATGTGGGCAGCTCTTAAAGTGACAGCAGTCTAATATTCCTGCTGTCTGTCATTCATGTTAATCAAACATCAAAAGAGAGAAAATCTCTCACTGCTCTTGACTAAATCACTTTTGTAACTTTAACAAGAAGAAATATATATTTAATTTACACAATGAAGAATATTTAGTGATTTTATACATTTGATGACTGATGATATAATGTGTGTAGCATTTCTTATTTATTTGTTCTACTGTAGTTTCTTGTAATTAGTTTCTTATTCTTATTTAATTGTTGACTGTTTAGTTGTCTTCAGTGAGCTTGATTTTTTTTTTCAGACTGGTGACTAGAATTAATAAAATTCTATAAGATTTTGGTCATATCGCCCACCTCTAGAAGATGCTACGAAAAGATTATTGGATTCAAACACATGACTACAATCTCATTGCACCAGCATAGCCTTCTTACTATATGTATATAGTATTGGCACCCTTGTTAAATACTGTAAAAGTTAAACGGGCTGTGGACAATGTTTTTGCTGTTCATCCTCTCGGTTTTTATAAATATTCACAAAGGTTTAGAATTTAAAAAAATAATAAAAGAAATAAAAAATAATAATGGCAAGAAACATTGCAACTTTAACTGTTATGCTCAGTATATAATTTGTAATAAAATAAAAACTGTTTAATTAGAAATAAATGGACAACAGAAGCATTTTCTTTGTTAGTCTCAGTCTTGTGGACTCCACTGTATATCTGAGGTATGATTTGCAGTACCACCAAAGTTGTCTCAAATGAGTCCACTCTGTTCTATGAGCGCAGTTACCTTGTCATTTCTGCACTTATTACACTATAAGTGCAGTGACATGTAAGTCAGGGGACAAAACGTTCTTTGTGTAAGGAAACAAACATTTAGCTTACTTGACCTTATGTGTTTCAGTCTAGAGACCACAAACAGAAATATCCCCTAAGACAAACCACACACCACTGAGCCAACATTTTATCTGAGATCTCAAACACACAAAGGTGTGAGGTGTCATCCAACTCTGAATTAGATTCAGTTTTATTTGGCATGTGTAATACAGACCAAATACAGTCTGAGCAAGTGCAAACAAAATGACACAGCAGAAGACAGTATCAAAATGTAGGCATACGCTCAAAGAAAGATTATCTCTTTGAGGTTCTTTTAGATTCACAGAGCCAGTACGGGTAAAGTAATTGATTGGTTACTGAGCTGAGGAGGGTATTTAAAGGGTTTAAAAACTCACCACTGCTTCTCCACATCTGGCTTCCATAATAAAGCTCAAAAGTAGTAGGCAAATACCTGCAAGAAATAGACAGAAAATAAATATCATAAGAAAATAATGTGAACAAACTGCAGGTTGGTACACATTTAAAGTAGATTTAAAGTAATCTGGAGTTGTATAACCCATACCAAAGCACCTCATAAAGGTTAGGTTTACTGTACAATGTCCCCCCTTATTTGAAGAAAACAAACCTCTGTTACTAATTCAAAAATGTCACTTTAGAACTAGTAACAAAGGAACATTGAGCTGCTTCATTGAAATCTTATTGTATTACTGTATTAAAAGCTCACTGTAACATTAGTTTGAATGTCCGCTGAGGAAAGCGATATCTTTTTTGTACTATCCTTTCATCTGTTGAGCGTGATTTCCGATGACAGCGCTGCTCAGTGAATTTGTTGGCTGTCTTACAAGTGTTGTTGAAAGTAAAAATAACTTGTTTCAGTCTCTGTCAATATAAAAGTCTTTACTGCTGACTCACTCATAACAGTCTCTTGTCACCATCTAATGGTGGAGCAATGTCACATCTCCGAAACGCTGAAGTAAATTTTCAAATAGATGTTATCTTCATTAACAAACCTCATATTTGAAGCCTAAACAAGTACATTCTTGACTAAAAAACTTTTAAAACTACATTCCGTGACACAAAAACAGTATTGTAACAGCATTCGTAGATCGGGAAGAAGGAAGCGGGAACCGGCGAACATTTAAACATAATTTAATAATAAAATTAACACACAACTGAAAATAGCGCAACAGCCCCTCACGGACGACTGCCGTGCACAAACAAAACCAAAACACAAAATAAAGTCCAGGCCTGGTCCTCTCTCAGAATCAGAATCAGAATCAGAATGAGCTTTATTGCCAGGAATGTTTACACATACGAGGAATTTGTTTTCGTGACAGAAGCTTCCACAGTGTAACAGAATGACAGTGACAGAACAAAAAAACACAGATAATAAAAAATAAAATAAATAATAAATAAAAAATAGAACAAGTAAAATAAGGAATAAAAAATATACAAAACGACAACTGTATGTACAGGTATAGAATAATAGACAGTTGTATGTACAGGTATCAGCTGCAATCAGAATTCGCTATCTTTTCATATTCCATATGAACCTTTATTCATATCACATCATATCACAAGAATAAGCTTTCCCAAACCTTACACACTCCAACTATGAGTTTTACATAAAGAGCCTGTCAAGTCACCTATTACTCCAGCCTTTGAGAAATTATCCCGGCCTTCCATTAGGATGCCATATCAGCCCTGATCACACCCATATGCTGCTGTGAAATCATTATTAAGCCAAAGCTAGGAGTCATGGGACAGGAGGAAGGTATGGTGAGCTAGAGGAGTCATTAAGGATGAAGAGGCAGGTGTGGACGTCACCTCATTGGTCTGCCAAAGTCTTTGTGACAGATCACAGCGAGTTCTTTAGCCATCTAAGGAGAATGTTATGACCTAGGTTGACCACTGTTATTGTTCTCACCGCATTATGACCTCCATTTGGTGCAGCAAAGTCTTATTATAAACACATTCTCACATTTCTCTGGATGAAAAGCAGAGAAATCAAACCTGAGTTGTGACGTTTATAGAATGAATGAGCACACAAAAGGAAGAAATTGCCTTTCATCATGACACAGTCAGAATCATGTGAAAATAATCATGCGACCATTTCATAGCATGAAGTACGCTCATTAACTATCAGAGTGAAGAGAGAGACAGGGAAGAGGAAGAAAAAGAGGGAGGCAGGAGGAGAGAGAAGGAAAGAGAACTGGGTCAGAGAAGGCAGAATGCAATCTGCTCGCTCTCTAATTAACTCTTCAGCATTGTTTCTATGACGTCTAATGAGTAAATACAATTGCAACAATGAGGCGCATGAGGGTTAGTGCTAACAGATATAGGTTAATCTCCCCAGGCCACATCCATCAGCTGGCTGAAACCTACAGGCAGCAGGAGGCTCCTGCTCCAAATGGCACTAGACAGCACGTGTGATATTATGTGGAAAAAAAAACCTTATGCCTCTCTTGGACTTGATGCAGTTATTTAAAATGTGGGTTACTAGAATAGGCGTCCTGCCCCAGTTGTATTGTATTGTATTGTATTGTTTTTTGTTGTTTTGTTTTGTTTTGTTTTGTTCATGCCCTAGGTGAGACAAGAATGACCAAAAATAAATAAATAAAAACATACATAAAAAAATAAATATATAAATACATAAAATAAAATAAATGAATAATATTTATTTGTTTGTTTGTTTGTTTAAAAAGTATAAATTATATAGGAGATATTTGACATTTACATTAAAACGTTTGGTATCTGAAAGATTTGTTTAATGTTTTTGAAAGAACTCTCTTTTGCTCATCAAGGCTGCATTTATTTGATCACAACTAACCTAAAAATATTGTAGAATGTTATTACTATTTAAAGTATCTGTTTTCTATTTGAATATATTTTAAAATGTAATTTATTCCTATGATGGCAAAGCAGAATTTCAGTCTTCAGTGTCACATGATCTTTCAGAAATCTTTCTAATATGCTGGTTTGGTGATAAAGAAACATTTCTTGTTATTATCATTATGTTGAAAACAGTATTTTTTGCTTAATATTTTGAGGAAACAGTAATACATGTTTTTCAGGATTCTTTCAAAAGAGCAGCATTTATTAAATTTTTTTTTTTTGTAACATTAAATGCATTACCTGTCAATTTAAATTGAATTAATGTATCCTTGCTGAATAAAAGAATAATGGTTTAAATAAATAAATAGATCTTACTTTTAAAAGGTAGAGTATACATAAAAATGCAGGCGAGAGAGTGTACAGGTATTCTCTCAGTTTGAATGCTGGTTAAAAGATCTAAACAGACATAAAATACGTTTTTCAATTAGGCATGAGAGAATTGCCCCAAGCTTGATTTTGAACATAACTCTTTTTTTTTTGCCTTCATGTGTTATTCTAATTGTTTGTTGTGTTTTGATTCTACTAAGCAATCTCCGCTTATTTCCAGGGGGAGTATGCGCCGTCTCGAGTCTGCTATACCACTTTCTCACATCAATGTAAATAGAAAACAACGAAACACCCTCTATTCTAGCAAAGTGCATTAAACTGAACCCAAATGCAGGTCTAGTTATCATCCAACGAGGACACTATAGGAAAACACCAACTAATCATCATTTAAAAATCTGCAGGACACTTAATTATTATTAACACATCCTCCAGATAAGGGTCATAATCATCTTTCTACTGCAAAAATCCATCTTTTACACATCCATGGCACTTCTCTATGTTCCTGGCATGTGCACTGGCATGACAAATTGAATATTAAGAGGTTCTTCATTCCAGCTCTGAAAGAACATGAAATTAATAAATCATCTATTACAAGCCAATAGGATTGTGTTTTCACGAAACCCTCGTCTTATACGAGTAGCGCTGAAGAGGAATATCAATTTGTGCGAAATTAGAACACAATATCAAAGACAGCACCAAGTGGTCCCATAGTTTGGGCCATTTTCCAGGCTTTTCGAGATTGACTTTTAATGGCCATCTGAAGTGTGAATAATGAATGGTGATTATCACCCTGTGGAGAGAATCTATTTAAGCACCAGAGGGGAGAAAAACAAAGACATTACCGATCCCGGACAGGCTTTTGTCTTCCTATCGTCAGCTTAGAGCCGTATCGCTCAACTTCCCCAGACAGCAAGCAGTGTCGGCTCAGATCCGGCCCACATCTGGCCCGCATGGATTTCACATGGGCCAGATGTGGGCCGGATCTGGGCCAAAACTATGTTGCTGTCTGGGTCCTGTTCTCCACAAAACTACCGGCAGAATTCCAGCCCCTCCCTCTGCAATGCTCCACCCCATCACTCTTCCTGCTCCCTTTTACGTTCTTTCTTCAAGGACATGAGAGGGAAGGCCAGGCCCCCTGCTTGGCCCTAATTGCCCATGATGAGTGCTCCACACATGAGTAGACAGACATCAGACTCCTGCTGACAGGGCCCATGCCAGGGGACTCACACACACACACACACACATGCACAGAGCCTAGTCCAGGGTCTTTGCCCGCTCTCACACCTCATCCTGTGTCTCGTCTCACCTTCACCTGTCCCCATTTCACACACAATGAGATACAGTGTGCACACATGCTTTTCTCACATACAGACAAAAGGCCACGCAAACACAACACTGAAGGTTGGATGGGTCTAAAATCTTCAATTAGTGACAGATGTGATTAAAAACAAAGTCCTGGTGTCAACAGAGTGTGAGCACCAGCCAAAATATAGACAGAATGCATTCAAGTCAAGTACAGGGTTCCAATTCCGATTAACAAGCACTTGATTTGAATCCAATTTTATTTCAATTCATGTACACACACACAAACAGACAGACAGACAGACAGACAGACAGACAGATAAATAGATAGATAGATAGATAGATAGATAGATAGATATAGAATGTTTTTGATCCATTAAAATGTACCGGTTTCATAAGAGTTATTCATTTGTGAATCAGAATGCACAGGCTGTACTGAATGTTTTATGATTCACCAAAGAGAACCAGTCCATAAAAGTCATTTGGTTTTGAGTCAGACTGCACAGGCTGTGCTGAATCTTTTGCAACATGGGCTAATTGGAAATACGTGCCTCTACCTACATTTTTGCGAAACTCAAAAAACGTACCTATACACACACAAATCGCTGCAGTTTACAGTTGAAATGAACACTAGAGGCAGTAAAACTCTTGACAACTTTTATTCCTTTTCACACAAAATATGATTTCCAGGTCCACAGTTTCGATAATAAAGCTTAATTTTCGCATAATTACTTGAGGAATATTATGTTATGAATTCAAAACAATTAAAACGTGCTGCGAGATTTGAAAACGGATACTTTTGAACGTGTCGTCACATATCCAGCTTCATATGCATGAGTTTTCTAATTCAGTAGCTCACGTGATGCGTAGTTGCACCTGAGTGATGAAAAGCTCCGGTACGAACCCCGTGGAACTACGGTTCAATAA